ACATATAAATACATATCGAACATTATTATGACGAATATATTTTACATATAAATACATATCGAACATTATTATGACGAATATATTTTACATATAAATACATATCGAACATTATTATGACGAATATATTTTACATATAAATACATATCGAACATTATTATGACGAAATATGTTATCAAGTTTTACGTAGTTGCATATCTTAAAGAACATCAAATAAAACGCTGTACGTATGTCGATATGTAAATCGAAAGAACAACTAAAAGCCTATTGAATAATCCATTATTTTTTCTTATTGTTTGGCTCTGCGTTGATTATAATTATTGGTAATTATGCTCTAAATGTACCAAGTTCGCCATAGAAGAACAAAACATATACTCTATATCTGTTGTCTCTCTCTCTTCTGTCCATAATGATTTTTTGTACAGATAAACACGGATTGCATTAGATGGGAAGTCATTATACAAAACCAATTTACTGTAACAGGCCTATAGAAGACAAAAATAGCGATCGTAGACACTCGCAGGTCCGTTCGTAGTTTCGAGGCAGAGCTATTAACCGAGTCAAATTACATTCGCTAGGAAAATTGCGGGTTATATTTACATGCCTTAACTCTAAACAATCACCAATACGTACTGAGTGAATAGGATCACGTAGCTTTATCGAGCGCTAGGTACATATGATGTTGACACCATTATATACGTCACGCGCGAAAGGATGCGATTCGAATGAAAACATGAGCGCCTAACGCGCCCAGTTAAGACACTTCAACGCGACTGTTTCTCGATGGGGTTTAAGTCAAAGGACACGTCATTGTTATTTAACCCAAAGAAAGTTTTTTAAACAGTGTCCCCACATTTAACTGTTTTATTGTCTTTTAAACATCGAGAACATGTGATAATATATTTAAAGTTTCTTTGGATAGTATAACTGACAACTACGAGCTAACTTGCTGTCTACTATTTCAAACAAATCGTAAGATAAAAAAAAAGAGAAAAGAAACGTTCATTGAATTATTGAAAACATGGGTGTATGTACAGGAGATTAATCTAACTTATTTTACATTTAAGTTATATAAGAGAAAAGAAACGTTCATTGAATTATTGGAACATGGGTGTATGTACAGGAGATTAATCTAACTTATTTTTCATTTAAGTTATATAAGAATAAAACACCAAATTATAAAAAGGCAGCAGAGCATGTAAGAAGAATTTTGCCTCTAAAACTGTTTTTTTTTTCGTTGTTGTTGTTTAGCAGTTGTATTTTGCGGTTGCAATAACTTCACTACAAATCTAACAAATTATCGTTTAGCTGGTAGAGTATTTCTAACAGCAATCTTCTCTACACCGATTATAAAATGATGAGTAATAGCGATCATAAGATTTTTTTCTATTTTAATTAGAACGAGAGAAACAGAAACAAGTACACTCTGGAGTCTTTGTTTGTTATTGTTTGTTATGAATTTCGCGGAAAGATACACGAGAGCTATCTGCGCTAGCCGTCCCTAATTTAGCAGTGTAAGACTAGAGGAAAGGCAGCTAATCAGCACCACCCACCGCCAACTCTTGGGCTACTCTTTTACCAACGAAT